AAATTATTATAAGATGATCAACATGACGTTATATTAAGTGTAAATTTGATAATTAAATAATTATTTTAGTTTTTAAAAATTTAATGATCAAAACCGGTTAGTTAAGCATAATTTAATGACCTCTGATATATTATATTTTATTTTTATTAATTAAATATTTCTAAATACTCCATGTATTAAAAATAATCCATTTCTAGTGTATAAGACATTAGATCTCTTAAGTAAAGTCAGAAGTTTAAATCCTAACATTTGCAAATGGAACAAATTGGATTTGGAGGGTCGTCATTGCCTTTGCAATACCTAATCTTGATTAATCGATCATAGATCGCATCTAAAATAGATCATATATGTATGTATGCATTTTTTGTATTTAATATATTTGCATTTTTAATAGATAATTACTATTTCCATCAAGTCATTAATATATAATTAATAAGAGGTCACGTTTGCTTAAAGAAATCATTTGTTTAGAACAAAAGAAGTCCATAATCGAACAATTTTAGTTGGTATTGGGTCCAATAAATTTACGGTAATACGTTGATTTATGAGTAAAGTGTTATTATCGATTACTATAAAATTTTATTTTGAATACGAAATATATTATATTAATGATAAGTTAATGACTACCTAACTTTTAATATGCTAACACTTTGGTAACGAACTTTTTAAATTTTGTATTAGAATCACTAAATTTTAAAAAATACTTTCATTTGAGTCACTATCATTAACTATTACTGATTTCAGAGTCGTCTCGGATATTTTCGAGGGTCCGAACAAAAACTTAAAATTGTGCCCTGATAGAATTAAAGTATATTCCATTACTTTGAATAATTAATTTTAAAATAATAGATCATAGAAATGATAAAAAAATGATTAAATTTTGTCAAACACGCCATTTTCATTATTTTGTTAAGAAAATACCTTAAATACAACTAAAAGATAATAAATATAAAAAAAAAAATTGAATGTGGGTATGATATGGAGCTTGATTTTGAATAATAAAAAAAATAAAAAATGATGTATTATTTTGTTGTTAGATTGAGATTAGAGAAGAGTAAAAGTTAAATAATATTTACTAAATTAAAGAATAAAATTTAAAAAATAGATAAATATGATTAAATTTAATTCAACGTTGAATGAATTAATAAGAAAGATAGAAAAATAAAGTCTAAAATTAAAAAAAATTATGAAATTGAGAAATAAAAATAAAGGCATCAATTATAAATATAGAAATTGAGAAGTCCAAGTTATAAATATAAAAAATGGGAGGCCCTGAGGGTACTCCCGTAAGGGTTGGCCCTGACTGATGTTTTATAAACGAAAATTGATTTACACTACCACGTATCATTTTTATAAAATCAATACATTTTAATTGATGTTATAAATATTTTTATATTATTTTATAATTTTTATTATAACTAATATATTTTTATAAAATAAATTTAATCACAATTTAATTCATAATGATTTATTTATTTATATTTTAATTTATGCTGTATAAACTCAGACATTAACATGTATTTTAATTAATGTTATATTTTATTTTATAAATATATTCTTATAGCATTTTATATTTTATATCCATTAATTTTTTAGTTTTAAAACATAACTTATAAATAATATTTATAAAATTGATATATTTTGATTGATGTTTAAATATGATTTTTTTAATTTGTTTTGTAATTAATATATTTTTATAAAATTAATTTCAGTTACGCGGTTTAAGATATTGTTTTATATTTCTGAGGGATACTTGAATAACTTGTTGTTTATGAATGATAAATGAGAAAGTGGTAGTCATTTGTTGGGCTGGTTTGAGCTTTTATAATTGGTTTCAGTTATACAAGGGAGAATTGATTCTTGAATGTCATAATCGAGGCTTCATTAATCAGAGTTGGGTAGACTTCATCCCATTAAACTCGTGGAGCCTTCATCTTTGGTACCAAGCGTTTAATTTTGAAAGAAAAATAATAATGTTTAATTAAATAATTGTTTTGTTTTTTTTAGTTTTTAGATCTCAATATTTCATCTTGAGACAAAAAGATTCATCTGTAGATAAAAATCGTTAATTAAAAAACTATCAACGCTCTAAAATAGGGGCTTTCTACCTTAAATAGTCAAACCTTAAGGGAACTTTTTACTTTAAAATGAAATGTTAGGACCAAAATACTCCAAAAAGAGAATATGGGATAAAATCTATTAGTCAAATGTTAGGTTCATTTTTTGGCATGCCTAGACCTGACAAATTTGATTCAAACCTGATTATCCAAACTGATTTACTCGACCCGAGACCCGATATAGACCCGAACATGATGACTCAAATTTGACATGAAACCTAAACAAACCGAACTTAACCGAAACTAACCTGAGTTTTAACTAAGTCGATATGAACCAAATTCAAAATCAACCACAACCGAAATCAATATAAAACAAAAGCAACGAAACCGAAAGCAACCCATACCGAAATCAACATGAACCAAAAGCAACGAAATTGAAAGTAAACCAAATTTAATTTATCCAAATCTGATCCAAACCTAAATCAAATCCGATTGAATTAACTAAAGTTATTTCAATCTGAACTTCATTTTAAAATTTCGAGCCGAATCGTATTCAACAATACTCAAATTCTAGTCTGCTCGTTTAAGCCCTAGCCTTAACTCCATTATGATTTTGGTCCCCTTACCATGCCCAGAAGAGTAGAACCTTTTTTATAGTAAGCTAAGCTGATTAATATGCTGTTCTATTTATGGGCTTGAACTCTTCTAAGTAAGAATAACAAATTGGAAATCTTCTGGGCTTAAGCTTAAATTGATTAGCCCTTGTTTTTCCTACACTTGCGAGGCTGATGAAATCGGGTCGGGTTGAACACAAAAATTCATATTACATTGCAAGATTTAAATTTTACAACCGAAATATTATAAAAAAATAAATTTTCAGTTATAATTAAATATTATTCCATCTAACTTAAAAAATTACTCTCTTAATAAAATTTTAATTATAACTTATTTATGTCGTTTTTTAACTTTATATATATTCAAGCTTTCTACTCAAAGGTAACAGAGAAAAGAAGTAAATGAAAGACTCAACAGTAGGACTGTTATGGACACTTAACCCAATTTTTAGTTAGATGATCGGTTAACCGTTATAACGATTACAAATTTTAATGTTATTAATGAGTCGATTAGGTTAACATACTATTAACCTATTACAATTATTTTTCAAAAATAACACAACATTTTAAAGTTTCATTCATACTACAAAAAAGTAACACTTAATACATATTTACACTGGTGTAGATATATATCTCCCAAAAAGTGTAGCACTTAACATAAACTTACACCGGTATAGTAGTACATCTCCAATAATTATAAATTTAATTTATTAACGGTTAACCGTTGGTTAATTGTTTATTGAAATTCATAACCATAACTTTAACTGTTAACCATCATTTTAATGTTCAATTAATCGATACCGTTTAACATTAACGATTCTATTAATTAAAGTGTTAAATATAAAGATTATAGCGGTTAACGTTACGAATTTCTTTTAATATCCCTATCAAACAATGAGTCTGTTTCCGCAATCATTTTGGCCGGTGAATGTTAATGCGTTGGTTACTTTAAAACCGTTACTTTAAACATGGTGGAAATCTTAATCATATTTCATTTTCTTTATTAATATGGGATGGTTATAAGAGAACATATTTAGAATTTTTTTTAACTAATTAACGATAACATGCATATATATTATAAACGTAAATATTAAACCCAAAAATTAAAAATACAATACTTCTATTAACTATTTAAATGTTCTAAATTCAAATACATTATATTTTTTAATCCTGAAATGAATGAATATAGGTATATCATACTTTTTGTCCTAACGGAAAGAAGTGGTTAGGGTTAAATAAGGCAACCAGGAGGTAGGTGGGAGCAAGAACCGTTCTACTTTTTCTTGGCCCCTCACAAAATTAAAAATTGGGCCCTAATTTAAAAGAATATTAAAAATAAATATAAAATTTAATTAATTTTTATTAAAAAATAAATATTAATTAAATATAAAAAATGTCAAAAAACATTTAAGCATATAAATACTTATAAAAAACATTGCCTTCGAGCATTTCTTGATGCAAATCATTGATGATAGTGTCACATCAATATTTTTAACATTTTTTCAATATATAACATAGCTAGCCCATTCATCTTTCTTGTGATATTGTTGACCTCAGTATTCTTCAATAATTTCAGCTTTGAAAAACTTCTTTCTGCGGATGCTACCGTTTATCATGTTATAAAATCAATCTTATATTTTTTAATAAACTGATTAATTATAATCTTGAAAGACACTTCAACCTAAACATTAAGAACAGTAAAAAAATATGTGATCAAGTTAAGCATTATTTGAGAAAAATATCTTACTCCATATATGCCCCATTATACTAAAAGAAAAATCATGAAACAAATACTATTCATTGTAAATTGAGTTAAAGAATCGTCTTTATTTCTTAATACTTATTCGAATTAATCCGTCAATAGATAATTACGGGTGGTTATACCAAGAGGAAAAAAGAAAATCTTGAAACAAGCACTGTTCACTGCAAAATCTTTTGAGAAAGCAAAATTGAACTCAAATTGCATTCTCACACCATCATCCATTCAACATCAAATAAAACGCTTGTACCTGCAGCCATGATCTTGCTGAGATTATTTCTGCAGATTTGACAAGTTTAATCTGATTAAGTTTTACCACTCCTCAGTAGGCAACTTAATCATTTTCATCAACTCCAATGATATTGTGGAAGCATTTAACTGGCTGCTTTTTCTATATCCCTGTGAAGTCAACCGCACGTAATCATCGCATAATCTCCCGTTCAGTTTGTATCCATTATAAGTTGGTACCAGTTTAGGGTTTATACATCACATGCAAACTCAATAGTTTCTTCTGACATTTGCTTGGATTCTTCATTTTTTGATCTTCTTCTTTTCCAGTTAAAGCTTCAAATGGTTAGCGCTGAAATTGCAAGAACAATTGCAGGGATCATTGGTAAGTTATTTGTAGCTTAACACTCTTCTCTTCTCATTTTGAGTTTAGTAATATATGTTCCATATAAGTATGTTAATTTTCTTCTTCTTCTTACATTTCTATATATATTTGAAAGAAAATGAACATCTTTGTTTTGCTTTGCAGGAAATGTCATCTCATTCTTTCTATTTGCATCACCAATGTAAAATTTCTTCTAATTCAATGCTTTTTAATTCTACTTTTGTATGTTTGTATTTGTGTTTCAAATGTGCCTTAGAATTTAAAATCTTGATCTTCCCCTACATGCATGCTCTTCATTTCATGAAAACTCTTGAAAGAAAAGGGGGAAGCATGCCTTGTTATAATTTTGCCAGTGGATATTCTAGGTCTTCACCTTAGTTCTGCCCAGTTCTAGACTCTTTCATTTTATACCACTTCTCTTCATATGATTTTGCCACGTGGATAGACAGGCTTAATTTCAGTTATTTAGGGTATATATTTGTGTATATTCAAATATTCTTTTAAAAGTTTCCATAAAGCTTCATATGAAATACGAGTATATTGACAAACAAGCGATGTTATAGTTAAGGATGATTGTTCCTAGAGTCTCAATTAAGAACACGATGTTTGTAGGGATATTGAGCGTTTATTGTCAAATGGTTGAGTATTTGAACATACCTTATAATCACCTCAAATTAATACAAAAAATTTAAAGGAAGTATATAATGGATTTTCTTTTGTCATGATTTTCATTTTTGGACAGACCAACATTTGTGAACATATATAAGAGAAAAGCAGTGGAGCAATTCAAACCAGATCCCTACATAGCAACAGCAATGAACTGCATGCTGTGGATATTGTATGGTTTACCAATGGTTCATCCAGGCAGCGCCCTTGTTGTCACCATCAATAGCATTGGACTTACAATGGAGCTCATTTATCTCACCATTTTCTTCATTTATGCCACCAACAAAAGCCGAGTACCTCCCCCACATTTTCTTTATTTCTCCACCAACTCCCTACAATATTTTATTTATTCAATTGAATTCGCAGTTGAAGGTCATTGGATGGCTTGGAATAGAGATATTATTTTTGGGCATTGTAGCGGCATGCACATTGAAATTGCGCAAAACTCATGCCCAAAGATCGGCCCTTGTTGGCATTCTTTGTGTCATATTTGGAGTTGTAATGTATATTTCACCTCTTACCATTATGGTATGCCATATCTTTTCCTTTTCCCTATATTTTACTCTAATTAATGAGTTAATTGCATCATATATCCTCAAACTATAACTTTTATTCTAAATTAGCCCCTAAGCTTTTGAATATTCCAATTTCATCCTCAAACTATGATTCTCATTCTAAATTGATCCTCGAACTTTTGAATATTCCAAATTCATCCCCAAACTATGACCCACAATCTAAAGTGGTCCCCAAACTTCTGAACTTTCCAATCTCCTAAAAGCATTCAAAAGTTTGGGGGGTCAATATAGAATGAGGATCATAGTTTGTGGATGAATTTGGAATGTTTAAAAGTTTGGGGACCAATTTAGAATGAGAGTCATAGTTTGAAGATGAAATTAAAAAGTTTAAAAGTTTGAGGACTAATTTAGAATGAAGATTTTGAGGACGTGTAATACAGTTAACTCTTAATTAATGGGATAATAAGGTCTAAATTTACCCCATTTAGAGTTAATATATATTTTTTGAATTTTACAGAGGAAGGTGATCAAAACAAAGAGTGTCAAATACATGCCATTTTATCTCTCATTGGCCAACTTTCTTAATGGAGTTATTTGGGTCACGTATGCCCTCTTTCGCCTTGATCTCTACATCTTGGTAAGAATATTTAAGCTAAAATAACAAAAGAAATTAATTTATTAATAGATTTTTCTTTTATATTTTTACTAAATAAGTTATTGGAAAACAAAAAAATGGATAGGTAAGAGTTTTTTCTATAGTATTTAATACACATATGTGTGTGTTTGGTTGATGATGAAGATTGCCAATGGACTGGGGGCACTATCTGGAGCAATACAGTTGATTCTCTATGCTTGCTATTTCAAGTCTACCCCGGAAGACGGTGATGAAAACGGTGGCGTCAAGCCATCCGATGTCGAACTGTCCGGCAACAATGGACCATATGGATCAACTGTTTGATCATTGAAAAAAAATTATCAAAAGTAATAAACTCTGTAATATTTTCCAAGTAAATCGATTTTAATGTCTGTGTTGTGAAGATTTTCATGGTGTTTTCGATAAGAAGAATTAGTGATGTTTTCGATGGCAAACTTAAGTTAGAGTTTGTTTAGATACCGCATTACAATTACATAAAAATATAATTATTCAAATATTATATTGTCTGGTTACAATGAATTCTAATTCTTTAAATAATGCAATTAATAGAGTATAATTAATTATAATATCTTATATTAGTACAAATTATATTATATAATTATATAAGTTTAAATTCTAAAATAATATTAATTATTATAAAAATATTAATAATGCTTAAGAATATCATATAATCTCTAAATTATATTTGAGTAAGTAATAAACAATAAAATTTTAAAAAATATATAAATTCTAATAAAAAATTATATCATAATTAAGTTCTTCATTTTTCCATGTACTCTTCAAAGTAGTTTTATCAAATTAAAAACACATTAATTATTGATAAAGCTATATGTTTTGATTAAAATACTTAATGAGTCGTATGTATTTGGAACAACATCAAAATGATTTCTCCCCCTAATCTCCCACAGTGACATCACAATTTCAGCACTAAATCAGCCTCGAAATTTTCAATGGGTTAATTATCTTTTAAGTTCCTTAATCTTAAAATTTTCATAAAAATTCTCGTTTTCTAGGTCCAATTGATCCTAATTCTCATCCAATTGAGACCCAACATGCCTCAAGGATCCAATTAAGATTCTATATCGGCCCAAAATTATCTCAAGTCAACTCGAAAATTTGAATTGTTACATTTATTGGTCCAATCACGATATGGCCGATAACATCCACTTGCTGGTTTGTCTATACTTTTATTGGTAACATCCACTCTGTTTCAATGGTTCATCCATGTATTGGTCAGTAACATCCATTATGTTTGCTCTGTGTTTTTGTTCGGTGTTCTATTGTTACATGTTTTGAAAAGCCTTGTCCTGGAAGCTTGGCCAATGGTCGGGGTTCTATTGATTTCTAGTTAAATCTCTAAATTCTTGTATTGAATGTTTATTTATTTATGTGTTTATTATAATTGCTTTTCTTACATCTCATTGAGATTTATAGCTTACCTCTGTCTCCCTTTTAAATCACTTAGGATGTTAGACTCGATTTGGTACTCAAAAGAACAAAGTCTCGGTTTTCTTTCATACGTTTCATAATAATCACTTTTCTTTATATTATTTATCAGATTTTTAGCGTGAGATATTTTATCAGTATTTTCGAAAAATAATGGTTATTTTGAATATAAAACTAAAATACAATACAATTCAAAAACTTAAAAAACCCCACTATATTGTGTTTATAATTTTAGTATGTTTACAGTATAGATGAAATAAAATACAAAACATGAACAATCCCCCAAAAGAAGGGACTCGTCATAACATAGTATAGTTGGATTCTTTTTCCTAGGGGGGAAAAAGGATTATTGGTGACTCACCTTCAACCAAATGCACAATTATTAACCAAAACAGCGCAATGGGCGGGTTAATAAAATGAGAGCTCAGGCAATAATCAATAATTACCCAGAAGAGACGTCAAAATGGCCAAAACACCAATAATAATAATGATATTTAGAAAATAGTTGGTTGGTAGAGGCTTATCTGGACTCCTCCCAAATGATTCATATTCTGCTCGAATCTTTTGCTTCATGGCATCTGAAAGCTCTCCCTGCAATTCAAAACATTCATTCAATTGTTTTGTTACAAGTCTGGCTCCTCAAAAACACTGCATTAAATCATGGAAAACAAACAAAGATGAACAGTTTGCACTATGATGTGAGTGTTCAAAAAGATGATGAATTTTAGAAATGTAATAATCTCCTTGGGACCAGATTCCCATCATGCAGAAAGTTGTAATCAATTTTAGAAATCATTAGCTATAGGGAAATTAGTTGTGGTACTTGGATTGGGGAGTGAGTGTTGAACATAAATAAAGCATCTGATAAGGGTTTTTTTTTTATAAAAAAAATCCTAAGATTTTTATGCTATTCTTATATTCATATTCAAATATGTATTAAAAATGGGCAAAAGATATAATTATTTCAAATAAAATATCCAAATAAGGTATTTGATGTTACAACCTTTCCTGTTGAGTACTTGGCAGCTACAAACTTCTCTGGTGCAGCTTGAATGGGAGTATCATCCAACACAATTCCCTGATCATCAAATGTAGCCAATCAATATTAAAATACTTAAAAAATGCAATATTCACCATTATTTTTTAAATCAATGGATCTGTCAGCTCCTTATTTAATAGTGATTTTAAAATTCTTAATATAAATTTGGACTTGATAACTCCTTGTTTTTATACTTATTAACTATATATTGTATCGAACCTTAACTATTTATCTCTAATGTATATGTTTCAATATTATCCTTTACATAGCAAATGACATCTAAATCTAAATTCTGAAATCCCATTAAAGAAAATCTTTCACCCATTAATTCTTGTAATCTTACTTGACAAACCATCTTTTTAAAAGTTTATATAAAAGAAACATAAAAGTAGCTTGCCCAAGTATGTCTACGTATCTATCTATTCCTAAACGTACATCACAAACTTAGATAAAAGCAACTTGATATCTAAGCATAAAATTTGTAGCCTTTAGTACCATATCACGGGAATATAGAAAAGTCCCTATCATGCAGAGATATGTTGATCCATTCAGAGAGGAGTCAAGTCTTGGAAACCTAATCCTCGTGGACAACTTGGGTGAGGAATTTATAACAATCAACTGTTTGCATGCAGATGTTCCCAAAATGTCAAAATATGACACCATTTGTAGCCTTTAGTACCATATCACGGGAATATAGAAAAGTCCCTAGCACTTTCTACTAGTTAAACTTTTCTTATTCATGAAAGTGACAAGCAACTATCCATCGAAAACAAACCTCTGGAGGATCAAATTTGGCCCCGAAGTTGCTAAGTTTGGCATGAGCCTCTGCATAATCCTTGAAGAACGCCTCTTGATCTTCAGCGTATTTCTCTGCATATACCTACAAATAGAGTAATGTTTAAGCCAAAACCGCAATTATGTTTTCTTGTTGGCTGAAATTGAACTCTTGGTATATTTACCTTGAAAGAAGGATCTTCAAAAAGAACAGAATCACTTGGCAATACAAGCAGATCTTCGTCCGTTTTCGCCTTAATGTCCTGTATGGATAAAGGAGAGTCTTAAGTTTTTCATGTCTTCTTATTCAAGAAGAGAAACCGATTTCAAGTTCAAACCTTGAAGTATGAATTGTCAAACTTCAACCATTGCACTGTCCAAGACTGTCCTCCGGGTTCTCCTGGCCCATCGTTCTGTTATTCAAGAGGGAAAACCAGTTTAAATTCTTAATTGTTGATAATGGTATGCCTATAACTGCTAGAACCACCGGAATTTATGTTACACACGAGGTAACATATAATTCTAGGAATATTAAAGACATAACATATAATACAACTGGAAACCTCAGCAATCACGAACAGTTTTGCTTACTAAAATTGAAGAAAGCATGAATAAAATCACTTGACAGTAAATTGTATTTAGGAAGACAACGAATTTGCATTCGGATGATATTGAAAAACAGAATTTGGAATAACAATTAGGAATTTCTCGCAGTTTCATGCTCTCATTTCACATCTTAAGGCAATGCTTCGAAATAAAGTTGGATAACTATCTGTGGCTGTCAGTGGAACCAAATTCATTTTGTTTGGAGCATTCTCAGCCACTGAATTTTTTATTCTTCTAAGGATTAACATGGGATATATTATTTATGAAAATATTTTTAATCAGATAGACTTAATAAGATTACATAAAATATGTGTTAATATTTTGTAATAAAACATACATAATTAGATGAAGTTTGAAGAAAAATAATTGTTTTTCCTAAGAAAGTAGATTAAAAATAACATTCAATCAATTATACCATACTATATTAATTATAAAACATGTTTAATTAAAAGTAAAGGTGTTTATTATTTGGAACTGAATTAATTCGGTTAATCGATTGATGACCAAAATAATTTCAATATGAAATCTATTAAAGATTTTTTAGAAATTTAATTATCAATTAATTTGATTCAAAATCAATCCACTAATTAAAATTTTAATATATTTCTAACTTTAAATCTAAATTCCACTATTTTTTTTTAATTTGAATCCATCAGTTTTAAACTCAATACTAGATCCAACCCAAAATACCAAAAAAATGAGATTAAAATTTTAAAATATCTAATAAAAGTAGGGTAACATTCGATAAAAAAATAGATCGATTTAATCAAAATTAATTCAATTTGATTAAATACTTTCATACATTTTGGTTAGTCATTAAAGATTTAAAAAATTTGATAAATTTAGTTTGTTTGTTTTTTTGCCCTTCTAGTTCTTAGGGTTTTGCCCTAACTAATTCGACCCAACCTATGTCGTACACTTGGTTTTGGTGGGTAAGTCTTCCAGTGGGGATTTCCTATATACACAATGACTCAAACTTGAGACTTACTCAAGCAATATCAAACTGTTTACCACTTGAACCAATTCCATTGGTAGTTAACTTTTATTTGGTTTAGTTAATAACAAAATCAACTGTTTAAACACTCTTAATTAAAAGATTTCATAATTAATAATAATAAAAAAAATATAGAAGAGTTGAATCTAAAACTCAATCACAATTTGTAGATAACCATTTTCGTCTGGGCTTATTTAGTATATATATAATATAGTATATAGTATATGGTTTTGAAAGCATTTTTCGAAAAAATATATAATATTATTATTTTTTAAATATAATGCCATTTTATTTATTTATTTATTTATTCATTTTGTTATTTTTATTTTTATTTTATTTTTTAGGGGTCCAATAAATCCAAAACAGTCCAAGAGGCCCAGCAAGGACCTAATCGGGTGGGCAAGTAATGAGTATTTTGAATCGGGTATTACTCTCCATAATTAG